CAACACAAAACCCACTTATTTATCACCTGGTGCCAGATGGGCGTGGCCGCAGTGGTCATGGCAGACTGGGTGGGCAGGGCCAGGGTGGCGGGGGCCAGTCCCTCACCATCTCCAGGGCACAGCACACATGCCCACAGAAAGGGCTCTGAGTGCCGCCTCTGGCACGCGTGCCTTAGGTTCACCACCACTGCTATATAGTAATAATAAACTGTTTTACTAAAATATATTTTATGTTTAAGCTAATAAAAAAGTTAACATTTCAAAAATGTTACATTTCAATGAAAATGTGTTGTTAGCAAGCCAATAGCAAACAATATTTTTCAATGTATTGTAGAAGAGAAGGACTAAACTTTCTGTTAGTTGTTTTGTAAATTGCTATAAATCTGTACTGATTTGGTAGTATACCCACAGGCTAAATAATATATACTAGCCAAATAATATATGCCTGCTAACTGCAATCATGTTCATCCACATTAAAAGTTTATTTCCTTATTGATTTGACAATTTTCCACGGACAATATTTTCAATTCAAAATGGCTTTATTCACATTCTCATTCTTAGGATAATGTTTTTGATTTCTTCACAGCTTACCCAGTTCCTAGTTTAGATTTCTAACCATGTGATTTATGCTTTTTATGATTCCTTATATCCACATTTTAGAGTAAGTCACCCTAAAATGAATTGATCATAAATAAAAATTTAATAAACATAATTTGAAAGCAAAGAAAGATCCTTTCTAGTGTTCTAGGAGTCCAGCTGAGCAGACTTGTGGGACTGTAGTTGCATCACTGTTGCAGAAATCTGTAAACCTATTTCAATATAGTATTTTTTTTAAATTCTGCCAATAATGGTTTTAAAATAGCAAATATTCATAAATCAATTTTTGATGTCATATACAAGAAGATAGTAAGAAAAATTATTGGGCTTTTATTTTTGTAAGCTGCCTGGAGTCACTGAGAGCGAATTGGTACCCATATCAATTTTAATAAACAAACAAACAAATAAATATCATGAAAGATCTAAACATTCCTTTAAGTGAATACTAATAATTCAGTAGTTTCACAAAAGGTAATGTAACACCAACTGAACACATTTATTTATGTGCCCCACCAATTTAGCATCGTTCCTATTTGTAGAAATTGCAATAAAAATAATTTTCATTGTGGTTTAAAATTCTGGGAGTTGTATCCTAATCTGGAGTACCAGGTCAAGGAATTCTAATAAAATACTAAGAACCAGGAAAAATAAATCTAAGTTTAGTGAAACGTAATTGTATATTCTAAAGGTCATACTATTCTAAGAGCCATAATTTATAATACTTAAATTACTCCTACCATTATTTTAGCTAATATGCCATCATCACTTGATTCCATGGTAACCACTGCTTTATCTGTTTCAATTTCACACAGGGCATCTCCAACGTTCACCACTTCTCCTGTAAAATGAAAATAAAATTCAATCTTTTCAACAAATTTCATAAGTTTTAATTCATAGTTTATATTAACTTTATAAACTAAATTATAGTTTATAATTTAAAAGTAAAATCAATTAACTTAAAACACAATGAGTTTTGTTAAAAACTGTAATGAACAGATACTAAATAATTCGTTTTTAGATAAAGAAAGTGCATTTCGGTACAAATACATAATAATTGGACATTTACAAAGGATATGATCATATAATGAGCCTTATAAGTATTATAATATCCTTATTACTTATCATTATTTTTAAACTAAATACAATTCTATTATTATAACTTCCTGATTCTAGCAGGAATGTATAACATCTTCGTGTACTAAATGTTCAAAATCTAGGTATCTCCAACATTGGTAATTGCCAGTTACAACTTTATTCATGAACAAGTTCCCCATGTAGCTTGTTCTGGAAGAGAAGAAAGTCAAATACCAAGTTGCCATATGAGGAACAAGGACAAAGAATAGGTTCAAAAGCTAAACATTAATGTCTGGTCAAGTTAGAACTGTATCAATAAGGTAAATTAAGGATGAAATTAATATGGTGTCCTTACTTTTATTGTTTGTGCCCATATGTAAAACATAGTGAGAGAAGGAAACCAGCTGTAGAACCAGCTGTATTAGAATTGTTTTCAAATCTAATTCAGTATAGAAAGAATAACAGAGATTAATTGATTTGCATAAGCTCTTCTTCAATGTCTTTCCATACCTGTTAAGACTGCAATAGCAATAGCACTTAGATTTATATACCGCTTCACAGTGCTTTACAGCCCTCTCTAAGCAGTTTACAGAGTCAGCCTATTGCCCC